CTTTTTTTTTTTTTTTTTTGAGATAATTAGAGATGCCTTGCACCAACGGTGTGGCAAAGTGGTCGTTGAAGTGGGAGATGAACTATGAGCTCTCAAGTTCAAATTTCAACTTAGGCAAAACATAAAGCACTTGGTGTTACTTTCACATTTCTCTAAGTATTGGTGGGCAGAGTTACCCGATTACATATTGTCACACCTCCTTTTTACACACCCGAGAGTATATGGGGAGTTTTTCCACTTTAAGTGACATAATTCGAAATGAGATTACTTATTTGTCAGAGTCGCCACTTGTGATAGTTCATTTGGTGTCCCAAGTCACCGGTTTATTTTAAAAATCCCAAATCGAGGAAATTCGACTTTTATTTTTAAAGTTTGCGAACCAGAAATTCTAAGTAAGAAATTCTGTTAACCCGGGAGAAGATGTTAGGCATTCCCGGATTTCGTGGTTCCAGCACGGTCGCTTAAACTATTAAAATTGGCCTATTTATCTGCTTAATTACATATTTTAACCTATGGTGCATTTTTAACTCTTTTAACCTCTTTTAATATTTAAAGAAATTATTTCAAGATTATTTAAAACACATCGCAAGCCACGTTACATGAAATGCACCCGTGATTCATGACACGTTCTATTTAACCTTGTTTGAAATTAGAATCGGGTCACATGAAATGCACCCCCGGATTTGGTAATTAAAAATTACGACTACGTCAAGGAAATCGTACCCGTAGCTATGACAATTATTTTAACGCGCCTAAAGCAAACTACGAAAGTTCAAGGCATATTCCATACTAATTTTTGTATTTATGTGAGAGCCATAGATTATAGGATTTTTATTTGTGTATGGCGCACCTCAAATTATTTTCTAAAGGAATTAGCTCTTGATCTAATTTTGGGAGGGGCATGTATTATAGGTTTCGTTTTGGGCATGACACACCTCAAATTATTTTAAGAAAAGATTTATATATTTTAAAAGACAAACTAAAGGTACTCCTATTTTTAATCTTAATTTGAAATTAGGTATCACAACCACGCCACGGGAACCGTACCCGTAGTTGTAATAATTTAGTTGCGTGCCTAAAGCAAACTACGGTGTTCAGGAATATTCCAAAGTTATGAAATTTATTTATGAAAGAAGCGAAACTAATTAACTAAGGAAAGACGGACCAAATTTATTCACTAGTTTATTGTGTATTGGGCTTGGCAATTTGAAATTATTTAAACCAGACCAATTCATGTAGGGTCACTTTAATGAATATCATATGACCATATTAGCCAAAATCCACAAACCAACTGAAAGTCCAAACCAACAAAAACTAAATTCGCTCAAATCTAACCAAAACCTAGCTTTTCATCAATTAATTTATCAACTTACATTAAAATATTGTCTAAATTATAACATGCTAAATCATGATAATAATTGAACAAAAGCATGCTTAGTATTCTAGTCACAATAAGACATTAATTTCAGAAATAGTCCATTAAAATAAAAGCACAACAAATATAAAGGAAAATAACAAAAAAAAATATGATATTAATATCTACAGGCATACAACGAAAAATAGTATCAAAGTCATGGAAAAATTTATCTATTTTATTTCACTTAATATAAGAGATAAAGATATAGAAGAAAACTGAACCTCAACAATTGAATCCTTTGTATTAAAGGTGAGCTTGGTTACAACAATCTCCAGTGAATCGAATCTGACCGGAAAACGAAAATAGGGACTGAACCTTGAGCCGTGAACCTCGGACAGTACCTTCGCCACGAACCTCAACGACTATTTCATGGCTGATTTTTGGAATGAAAATACATCTCTTTTTCGCTAAAGTGGAGGGATGTTCCGATGGAGATTTATGACTGGTTTTCAGCAATTCTGTAGCTGGGTTTGGCTGGGGTTTTGGACATATTTTCGCAGGTGTTTTGCTGGTTTTAAGTGGCTGTTTTTCAGCTGAGGTTGAGTAATTTTAGAGTAAGAATTTTACTAGTTCTCCCCTAGATTTTTTTGAGCTGTTGTTACGAGGGAGCAAAGCCGATCAAAGAGAGCCAATTTTCAGCTGCTCATTCCTATGCGTTTTCCCCTCACTTTCTTGTGCAGATCCCCTCTTTTTGTTGTGTGTTTGTGTGTGTTATATGTAGAGAGAATGATGAAGGGGTAAGTGGAGGAAATATTTTTGGGGAGAGTGGGGAACATGAGTGGGGAAAGTGGGTAGTGAGTGGAGAAAGTGGGGGAAGTGGGTAGTGAGTGGAGAAAGTGGGGGAAGTGGGTAGTGAGTGGAGAAATTAGGTAGTGAGTCGAGAAAGTGGGAATAAATTCAAACATGGTAAAAAATTAGATGCCCACAGGTGTCCCTCTTTGCTTGGAGACATGAAGAATTTTCAAGCAAAGATAAGGTGAGTCATGTGACTAATTTTTGAACAAATCCTTTTTTTTCAAAAGGAAAAATAAACAAAGGAAAGTGTGCAACCTGTCACACCTCCTTTTTTCGCCCCCGCGAGGGTACAAGGAGTTTTTTCCAATTAAAGGACAA